CCAAAGTGGCCAAACGCGCCACCTCTAAGGCTCGAGCCTCAGAGGACTCGCTGACAACGAGCGTGTGGAGGGCCTCCACATTGCGGCGGTGAAGTTCCTCCCTCCGCTGAGAAGAGAGAGTATCGGGGTGGTATTCTTCATGAACGTGTGACGGATCGCCGCGGCCGTCATTGCCGCCACTGCGACGCATGCCAGGCGGACTACGAGGTGTGTCGACCATCAGGACTTCTGCCGCGGGGTCGATGCTGTCGTACTGGGACAGGGTCTCGACGGAGCCAGTCGACAGGTCGAACAGGCCATAGATAGATTCGTCGGGCTTGATTGCCGCAACTTGAGGGGTGGCCGACTGACGCGCCACCGCGTGCTTCACCCACCGCTGAAGCCGTGACCGACCAGATTGTAGCGGGGAGCGAAGATGCTGCGGGGGCCGACCAATACTGAGTCGACGGCTGCCGTAGAAGGACGCCGCGAACGCACGTGCGAAATTGTGTCGCCCCGCGGATGGGGAGCGCCTCGACGTCGAGAGGAGCTTCCTGAAGCCAAGTGGAGTCGTCGGCGATGAAGACGAGTGTGCCGAGATGGATCTCGCGGCCCTCAGCCAAACCTCCGCCGGAAACCATGATGAAAAGACTCGGAGAAATCGCAACCTCACCGGAAAGTTTCTAAGACACCTGCCCCATGGTAGGCGCCAACTGTCGTGGTTCTAAGTCTAACAGTAAAGTAGGGGGGTAGGAATGTAGAGGCAAGATCCTAGCTACGGTGAGATTGTGCACACAAGATGTACGAGTTCCGGCACTTCACAGTGGAAGTAACAACCCTATGTCTCGGTGCCCGGAGGCTCGGTCGATTGTGCGTGAAGTTACAGGGGGTGCGAACCCTTGTGCTAGAGGAGGGATTGGCTTATATAGAGTGCGCCAGGACCCCAGCCATCCCATGTTACACAGGGTTCAATGTACATAAAGGTGAGGCGTTACTGGTAACGCCAGTAATTAAGTCATATAACTGATCATAAATGCTGCAGAGTGAATGCCTGGCCGTTGCTTATTCGGGGTGACTTTGCACCTTCTACACTCCGGGTGGTTCTTGTACGGTCGAGTGATGATATACCAGCCGAATGGAATTGGGATATCCGAGAGCAGACATTGGTCGAGTGTTCATGTATTGAGGTGATTCCAGTCGGTAGAAACTGTTGTCATTTGATTAGCTTTGACTATAGGGCAGTGTCCTTGGGAGGGGTGCCTAGGTCAGGTCTATTGCCCTATCCTAAGTACATGACACCGTCAGATGGCTCACCCCACAAGGTGGTGCCGGTGACAAGACAGTGCGGACGATCAACGGTGGTTACGACGGAGACGGGAAGGCACTAAGTAAACCACACCTACATATGCAAACTAAGAGTTATTTTGAGCTCAAATTGCATATAAATCAAATAAACTACCACATATAATTCCTCCCAAATTACTAAAATACACAAATTAATAACTATATAAAGCATTGCAAAAGCTAATCTAGCAATGAGAGATGAAAGGACAAAGTTGCTTACCTTTGTGATCACTAGAAGGGATGGGGACCTTCAAATCTTGACAAAGTTTGAAAAAAATGTGAGATGAGCTCGAGGTAGAGGGGAAGAACAAAGAGGAGAGGGGAAAGGGGAAAACACAGAGAAAGGGAGATCGCGGGTGGACGAAGGGTTGATATAGGAAGACCTTTAGCACCGGTTTGTGCCACGAACCGGTACTAAAGGTGACGGAGGGGCCCCAGACTGACAACATCCTTTCACCACTCTACCACTCTCTTTAGTACCGGTTCGTGGCACGCACCGGTGCTAAAGATTCACCACAAACCGGTACTAATGGAAGCGGCCCAGCTAGCCGTTGGAACCGGCACTAATGGTCATATTAGTGCCGGCTCAGTTACAAACCGGGACTAATGAGCTGAACACTTGACCCTTTTTCTACTAGTGTTAAGCTTCAGTTACACAACCCAAAAAAAGTGCTAGGCTTTGAAAATTTGCCTTTCAAATTTTGAATACACACTCTTCAAATCCTGCACCCGCCTCTGCCCATTAAAAGCCATCAATAAGCCTTTTCCTAGTAGTGGAGAGATGAAACAACCACCTGGCTCTTCCCTAGTACTCCCTCATTAGTGATCTAAACGCTCTAATATTTCTTTACGGAAGGAGTACAAGACTACACAACATTCTTATTGGTGTCATCACCCCGCTGCCCCGTCTCCCGAAGCGGGCTGACCCCTGGTTGAAGCGACGGATGGTAAATCTCCAAATCATTGTCAATGGGGACGACACCGTTTTTCTCTATTGCATTATTCACAAGCTCAGCAATCATGTTTCCGTAGCGTACATCCTACGTGTGAGTGATATGACGTGGGTGTTCATTGAAACAGGTCCAAAATACTTTGCGAGCAACAACTCCCATTTCAGCATTGCATATCACAACGACAAGATGCTACTATGCGTGGATGTGCACCACAGGTATATCACGCTGGATGATAACGGCGGTGGCGACCACAAAACACCAAGTACATGTGTCATTGCTAAGTCTTGCAGTCTTGCGGTCAGTGTTGTAGGTACCTGGTTGAACAAGACCGGTACTGTTATAGGAGTAACACAGGCAATGACCATGCACATGATTGAAATCACTAGTAGAAAAAGGATCTTTTGTCCCGATTCTGAAACCGGGACTAAAGGGTCCACGTGGCTGCTGCCTGGAGGTCCATCTTTAGTCCCAGTTGATACTAAAGGATCTGCCTGGAGGTCCACCTTTAGTCCCGGTTGGTACTGAAGGGTTTTTTTTAAAAAAAAATCTGATTTTCAAATTTCTGAATTATTTTAACCACTAATCTCTAATCACCTCCCATCATTCCAAATCATCTAACTTCCCGGACGGTCACCCATCCTCCCACTCCCCCAGCCTGAGCATGCTTAACTTCCGGGTTCTATTCTCCCTCGTTTCCAAGTCTGCACTTGTTATTTTCCTGACAATAGTAAGATGTCAGTCCTATTAACCCTCAGGAGTTTAACTTGAGCATGAAGTCACACATTTCACTGTTTTGAGTTTGAAACTATTGTTCTAAAAAACAATAATTATTTAGTAACACTAAAATTCTTGAATAAGTAGTTTGACCATTGTTTGACCGCAGTTTGACCAAAATTCAAAAAAACTGAAATAATTATTTAGTAACAATAATATTCTTGAATAATTATTTAGTAACACTAATACTTCTTGAATAAGTAGTTTGACCATACTTTGACTAGATCTAACGAAAACTTTAAAAAACAGAAATTTGAGCATAACTTTTTTTCCATTTGGAATTTGAGAATTCTACAAATTTGCAAACAGGCCATAGGCAGTCAAAGTCGGATGCGGATTTTCGTGCTGAATATTTTGATATATTATACGTTTTTTGTAACATCATGTGCAAAAGTTATAGTCATTTTACATTTTCCCTACACTTTTTGCAAAACATGTCCAAATTTAAGTTTTTAAATTTTCCTAACTAGTAGATGTAGTAACATAACTACATCTCGAAGGATTTTAACTTTCGAAGTTTTTATCATTTTCTTTTGCTTTTTACAAAACTGAAAAGGCGATACAAGCTAGGGTAGGATTTGAAAATTGCACAATTAGTACTGGTTCATGGCACCAACCCGTACTAAAGGTTAGACCTTTAGTACCGGTTCGTGCCACGAACCGGTACTAATGCCTCAACCCCATTAGTACCGGTTCGCGCCACGAACCGGTACTAATGGGCATCGCACCCTTTAGTCCCGGTTCGTGGCACTAACCGGGACTAAAGGTCTCATTTGAACCGGGAGTAATGCCTGTACGGTGCCCTTGCCGCTCAAACCGAGACTAATGCTCACATTAGTTCCGGTTTGTAATGCAACTGGTACTAATGCTCTTTTCTGGCCGAATCAAAGCCATGTTTTCTACTAGTGAATGATGCCATGATGCAGTGGGCAGCGAGGGATGCCACACAACCAAGGTTTTGGTTACCGAATGGGGCATTTTTACCGAGGGGGACCGGTAAACGTGGTTACCACGGTTACCACAAAATTTTGAGCAAATTTTGAACGAAAATTATAATTCAATTTTGGATTCAAATCCTTTCAAAATAGATATAGATAGCACTTGAACTTATATTTATCATAAAAGAGGTACTAGCTTAGTGGTGCCTATGCGAGTGTTGTGAGGTGCTGCCATACTTTACTATACATTGAGCGTTTGAATTCAACAAATTCAAAAACTTCGATTTCTTTTTCTTGAAATGACCATTCACCAAGGTGGCCCGAAATATGTGGTAACCATGGTAAATCTTGAAATTTTGAGCGGTAACCAAAACCCTGCACACAACTCGACATGGATGGCAGTTGCGCCACTTCGTTTTCAGGTGCGTCTCGTTCAGGTACAACATTATTGTCGGTGAGGCCATGTCATCACTCGAATCCAAGAAATCAGCAAAAGGCTGGAGGCTCCAAAGAAGAAGCAAACAGTTTGTCCTAAAGGTTAACATTATTTTCATATTTGAGAATAATTAAATGATTCAAAGATTGTGATTGTTTACTCGGTCATAGTATCCACATTTTGTTACTTTCATGTACATTTTCTACCCCCTGATGTTTCATTTGCATGCATGAAAGTTCAGTAACGAAGCACCTTATCTTTGATCTAAAGAAGCTTTGTAATGCGAGTACCATGTTGTGCTGGCTAAACCACATGGATCAGATCTCTTCATTCACCTCACGAAGGATCGATATATAATACAAGGAGGGTAATATTCCCCTCCTCATTAACTGTTTCTTCTTACAATATTGAATAAACAAAAAGGATTCATCTATCTGAATGAAATCTAAGATAGCACATTAGTTTAATAACATGATGAACAAATATGCCTCCTTAATTAGTTTCCCCTGTGCACTCGACAACTCTGCGGGATGCGTTCGGCTGATCTCAAAAGCTCATTCCCTTAATTAGACTGATCTAATTCTTACACCTGATCTCGATGCCCTGCAAGATGAGACCGCTCTTACAGTACAAAGATTCAGTCTCTGACAGGCCAAAGGACACGTCGCCATCTTCACCCGCCTCACAAACAAACTCACCCAACTCCAGCTCCATCCAACCATCGACCCTTTGATGAGGGAGCGCTACGTCCTCGGGATGGATCATGTGCGGGTCACGTTGGAGGCAGACCTTGGACGCAAGAATGCTTCCTCCAACGCTCACCGATGCATTGACCGGAAAGTTGAGCCCGTCGGGCTCCTCTGCTAGCTTGTACACGGTGTAAACGGCGTAAGTTGAGCCTTGGGACAGCATCTTGCTGTGTATCTTGCCGCGGATTTCCAACCAACAAACCCAGATGAGTTCAGCACTGTCGGAGAACCTGGATTCAAAAATTGGGTTAGGATCCGTAACAAAGATGAAAACGAAAACCAAACAGCTGCATAACTTTGAAGAAAACCATCTAGCATCGATCACGCGCGACCGAGTACTCAAAGAACAAACTAAGTTGCAAATTGACTTTGGTGATCAACATAACCAACTGCTAATTAATTTCGTGATGACTCCTGCTGGTGACTATTCTGTGTATTGGCTCACATTGTACACCATGGTACGTTCATATATGTCGTCAGAACTCAGAATTCAGAACTCAGGACCTTCAACCCGACTGAAATTGGACGAGTAACACCACAGGTCCACAACGGAAGTACGTACGCAACGAAAGTTTCAAAATGATGGATTTCAACTGCAATCAGATGACAACGAATGCAGGTAGCATCATTGATTCTGCAACACAAGCTAGCAGGGGAACTGCAAGGGTAAAACAAAAGGGAGGTAGGAAGGAACCTGGAGTCCTCGAGAGGGATCCAGGTCCAGTGTTGCGGTGTGTCGCGCCACGCGATGGACAGCTCCCTCGCCGCCACCATGTAGCACTTGGCGGCGGTCTCCCTGTCCAGCCACATGCTCTGCACCATCGCGAGTTGAATTCATTAGCAATCGAACAAATATAGTCCATGGGTTTGCTATTGGGCTTGGCCCTGTATACGTAGTTACTAAGTTACGTACCATGAGTCCGCCTGGGAGGAGGACGGAGCTGCCGGAGAGGCGGAGGAACAGGTCCTTCTTCCCGCACGCCAGCAGCGCCTCTCCGTCAGCGAGCGGCGGTTGGTCGGCGAGCGGCGGTAGGAAGCAGGCCCAGACGGCGTCCGAGTCGGCGGCTGCGCGGAAGGCCGGGGAGACCGCCGCGGCGCGGCAGGCGTCGCGCGGCGACGTGAGGGAGAGCGCCGCCGACACGAGCTCCTCCGGCAGGCGCGCGATCTCGCAGGACTCCATGGGTTCCTCCTCCTCCTCCTCGGTTCGATCTACTACTAGTGGAAATGCTGCCAAAGGCTTAGCGACGAAGCATTTCATTAATTTGGGGCGAAGAAAGCTAAGCAAGTTTTTCAACAAATGTTGCTCATGGATGCAGGCTCAGATGACTGAAATAAAGTTGAAATTTAAGCCCTGCGAGGCCGGCCCGGCCCAAATCCATCGTGCTTCGGCCCTCAACCAACTGCACTAGCCCAACCTAACTTTAAAACAATATACATGAGTGTTATACTTTTGAAGTTATATGAAAAAATGAATGATTCCTTTAAAAGTGTCAACGCTTTTTTAAAATTACATGAATAAAAAAAGTAATGCATGAACACCACTTTTGCAATTAGATGACCATTTTCAAGGTACCGACACTTTAATAAATTACACAAACATTTTTCTAAAATAAGTTCAGATTTTTAAGAACTTGATTTGAAAAATTATTGGCAAGTATATATTATTTTTTAGAGTTTCCTTAGAAAATAAAATTGTTGTAATTATTAATGGGTTTAGGAGTTGTCAGCCCATTAGAAGGTCTTCATTCTTCAGGTAGAACAACTCCTCCTCGAGCTGCGGGCTCTTTGAAGCTAGAGTGTGAGAAGAAAAAAAATAGATAGAAAAAGGAAGCTCATCTGATTCTTATTGAATATCAAAAGCAAAGGAATTTGGTATTCAACCTAGTTTTGTGCAGATCCAATCTAAAGGAATATGTAGGTGAAGGAGCAGCATAGTTACGTGTCCTCCTCACTTCTTACCTCCTCCTTGATAGATATACGGTACGGGGTCCAAGTAACTTGCAGGGCCTTAGAACGAGAAGAAAACAAGAGACAACTCCATTGCAATCGGGCACATACATGATGTTAAATAATCAAAGTCATTTCATCAATCCCTTGTACAAACACATCAGGTTGCAAAGGGACGCCACAACCATAGCCTTACCAAATTACTCACACATGATGATCGGATCACAAGATGAACTCATTAAAGAAGACATAAAAAGGAATGTTTTATTTATAATATGTTTTACAATAGTTGTTGGCTAAGATACACGATTACAGGTATGACTAACTTGCAGAGGGATTACTGCAGTGATGATGGTGGCGGCTAAGGAGATGAGTTGAGAAATAGCAAGGGCGAGGGTTCGAAGATGTCGCGAATGGTGATCTCTTTGTTGGGATTATAGTGTTGGCCCCTTTATAAAGGTTGATCAGTTGGACCTTCACTAGTAGAAAAAGGGTCAAACGTTAAGCACAATAGTGCCGGTTTGAATTTCAGCCGTCACTAATGTGTACAATAGCACCGGTTCGTGGCGGCGATCAATAGCACCGGTTCGTGGCGAACCTTTAGTACCGGTTCATGCCACGAACCGGTACTAAAGAGGTTGTGTCAGCCTGTGGTCAGGCTATGGCCCCACCATCACCATTTAGTGCCGGTTCGTACCACGAACCGGTACTAATGAGGTTATGGCAAGCTGTTTTTATTCCCACCTCGCCAAGAGAAAGGGACTAGGAGCGGTTTATAAGCCCTGAGTGCAGAGACGATGAAGAAGAGGCTCAATGCTCACGTTGCTTAGCTTCAAGCCTTCAGGAATATAGTAGATTGCACGGAGCTACGCGCAGTGCAGTTTACACTATTCCGAAAGGCTTGAAGCAAATTAACGAGCATTGCACTTCTTTTTTATTTTTAATAACTTATTACAACTCCGGACTTCTTCTGTTATGGCAAAAACTAATTGCACGTCGGCATTTCTTTTTTTTTAACTTTGGTTATAACTCCAGACTTTGACCATCAAGTTTTGCAGAAAAGAAAAAATAGCAGAAAAGAAAAAAACTATATAAAAAAACTACTCAGAAATAAATAGAAGAAAATAAATATAGCAGAAAAGAAAAAAACTACTCAGAAATAAATAGAAGAAAAAATAAAGCAGAAAAGAAAAAGTATATATTTGCTATTTTTCAATCATTCACAAAATGACCGTGAAATTGAAAATCACTATAAAATGAACTCTGAAAATGTTAAATTTTGGCAAACTAGATGAATAAAACTACTCACAAATAAATATAAGAGAATAAATATAACAGAAAAGTAAAAAACTATACAAAAAACTACGCAGAAATAAATAGAAGAAAATAAAGCAGAAAAGAAAAAAACTATAAAAAAATTGGGGCGCTGGCCTATGGGCCTGCTAGGCCACAGGCGTGCAATTACAGGCCTTAAAGGCCCAGCAGACTCACAGGACAGCGCGCAGAGTTTAGGCCCACGAGCCAGCTATATAGAGGAGTTCGAAGAGGTAGCCGCGGCTGGGTTTATAAACCAGTGCGGTTGCCCTTCGCCCGGCGAGGTGGGACTAAAATTTGGGCTGGTAGCGCGAGTCCTTTAGTACCGGTTGGTGGCTCCAACCGGTACTAAAGACCACCCTTTAGTACCGGTTGGAGCCACCAACCGGTACTAAAGGCCTGCTCTTCCCGCCTCTTCGCCTGGCCAAAGTTGGCCTTTAGTACCGGTTGGTGGCTCCAATCGGTACTAAAGGCCTCTCCTATATATACAACACTTACGAAAATTCATTTAGATCTCCCCAGTTCTTTCGTCTCCAACCTCTCGCGCGCCGCTCAAACCCGTCCTCGCCGCCCGTCGCCCGTCGTCCGTCGTTGTCGTCGCTGTCCCCGCCGCCGCCCGTCGTCGTCGCCGTCTCGCGCCGCCGCCGCGAACGCCACGCGCCGCCGTCCGTCGTCGTCCCGCCACGGTCCCGTACGTCTCTCGCTCTCGCGTATACCCGCCGCGCCGCCGTCCGTCGTCGTCGCACCCGGCCCGTACGGCGGCGCCCCCGCCCGTACGTACGCCGCCGCCCCCGCCCCGTACGCCGGCGCCCCCGCTCGTACGTACGGGGCGGCGACGTACGGGGCCGCCCACATACACACGTACACACACATATATACGTACACACTACATACACACATACACACACACACATTTTTTTACTTATTTTCTATTTTTTAGAAAAGTTTATTAGATGATCGAATGTTTGATTAATGTCGAATGTTAGATAGATAGAAAATTGTTGAACTAGAGATTTGAACTAGTTGAATAATTAATATAACTAGTTTATTTTTAGTAAGAAAATTATCGAACTAGTTTATTTAGGTATATGAGATTTGAACTAGTTCAATAATTAATATAACTAGTTTATTTTTAGTAAGAAAATTGTCGAACTAGTTTATTTAGGTATATGAGATTTGAACTAGTTCAATAATTAATATAACTAGTTTATTTAGGTATATGAGATTTGAACTAGTTCAATAATTAATATAACTAGTTTATTTTTAGTAAGAAAATTTAGGTATCTGAGATTTGATGATCTAATTAAAATATTATTTGTTAATGAGTTTTTCTGTTTATTTAATTTTTTATATATTTTGAGTTTATATAAATGTTAGATTAATGTCGAATGTTAGATGAATTAGATAGAAAAGTTAATATATAGTAATGTCAATTGTTAGAGATGAATATAGTTAGATATATTAATGTCAAATGTTAGATGAATATATATTTGGCTAGATATTAATTAATATTAGATAGTAATAGGTGTTTAATGTTTCACCTATATGAACATAGGAAATGTCATCTGACGACGAAAAAGATTTCATTATGTGCGAACACTGCGAAGACCAGCTCGGCCTGTGCGACGGAAATTTTCTTGTTGATGGTAGGCGCTTCAGCATCAAGCTGGATGAGACATTCAAAGTTGATACAGTAAGTCACTTTGTCAATTATTATTTGAATGCAAAACTTATGCTTCATTTGTTTCAACTTATAATTTTAAATTTTCACTATTCTACTAGCGCATCCCCTGCCATGCAAGAATTTTTGTCTTGAATAATATAGGTTTTAGTGCTATAGATGATATGGAGGTAAAGAGAATTTACTTGAAGACGGAGCATGCGTATACTTTCAACGTCAAATTATATAATGGAGACACATACACCCATTTTGAATGCAAAACTTGGCAAGCACTATGCAAGGCTTATGTATTTGAGCCTGGTATGGTTGTCACCTTTGATATTCGTCCGGAAGATGATATTGAAGGTAATATAGACATCTGGGTCGATGTGCAAACGCCTCCAGTTCTACCATTATGTGAGTTTTTCTCAACCATGCATGCATATGTTTATGTCTTTAAAACAGTTTATTCAAAAATAGTTGACAACTAATTTGTATTGTCAGCTTATTTCGGTTCAAGCAAACATGTCCGGCGCTTGGTAGACAGGACCTACTACTGCCCCGGGGCTCAACTAAACTGCGAGGAGATAAGTCATTATGTTTCATGGCTTGAGGATCTTAATACTGTCAAGACAAAAAAAATTCCTGAATTTAGAAATGTTAGTACTCAAAACGTGCGACCAATGGTAATCGTATTGAACTACGATCACATCTATAATCGAAAGATGGTAAGATTTTAACTATTTGTTCTTAATTAGTGCATCTTTTGCATATATTATTTTTGAAGCTAAACTTTCATTGCTTAGTATATTAATTACTATACGATGTTCTTCAACAGGGACTTCCGATGACAGTTGTGCCTAAGTGGATCGAGACTAAAGGTGACATGTCAATGGTTAGCTTACGGCCAAGATATTCTACATTGCACATGAGTGCATTCAGGATTTCTGAAAGCGAAGAATGCTTAATAGTGAAAGATTGAAGCAAAATTGTTAACGATCGCAGAGAAATACTAGGGGCAGCAAGGAGAAGCGCAATCCAAGATTAAGAGACAGATTCATCAGCATGCTCCAGTATGATGAATCAGGAGAGCTATACATGTTCTATGCTATTCTACCTGAGAGGGAGCAGCACTAGTTCATGCTCTTAATTAGTGTCTCATGTCCGTGTCCTGAACTTTGATGTTGGTGATGATTATGTTGAACTCGATGATATTTTTGCTTCTGTTACAAAGTGAATGTTTCCTCTTTAAGCTAGCC